ACCCCTAAACCCTAAGCCCTGAACCCAAAACCCTAAACCCTGAACCCGAAAACCCTAAAACCCTAAAGCCCTAAAACCTGAGCCCTAAACCCTAAAACCCTAAAACCCTGAAGCCCTAGAACCCTAAACCCTAAAACCCTAAAGCCCTAGAACCCTAAACCCTAAACCCTTAAAAAGGGCCCTTAAAAAAACAAAATAAAACCTAAACCCATGAACCCCTAAAGCCAAAGCCACGAAGGCCAGCCCTTTTTGGTTCGTCAGCCACGCCTGGGCTCAGCGCCCTCCGGTCGCACTGTGGGTCCCCGAGACTCCCTTATAGATCCCTTATATTTGGGTTTAGGGTTTCGGGGGTTTAGGGTTTAGGGTTTAGGGGGTTTAGGGTTTAGGGTTTAGGGGGTTTAGGGTTTAGGGTTTAGGGTTTAGGGTTTAGGGTTTAGGGTCCGAGAACCCTTATAGATCCATTTAAAGAAACAGCTTCTAAGAGCTCTGGTAGGACGACTCCAATGAGGGACCCTACTGTAATTGAAGGTATATTCCTTAATTAAGGGATATTGGAGTCTCTGGGGTCTCCGGGGCTTAGGGGCTTCGGAGTTCGTTGAACTGATGGGTGCTGAATGGGGGAGTGTTTAGTGTTTAGGGGGTTTAGGGTTTAGGGTTTTAGGGTTTGGGGTGTAGAGTTTGTGGTTTTAGGGTTTTAGGGTTTGGGGTTTAGGGTGTAGGGTTTGGGGTTTTAGAGGTTTAGGGTTTGGGGTTTAGGGTTTGCATGCTGGTGCTTAGGGGGGAGTGGTGTGATCCCCGCTATAGTGCTGAACAAATCGCTGATAGCAGTCCCCTTTTTCCGAGTGCTTGCTAGGGTTACCCTTAACCCTAAACCTTAAACCCTAAGCCCCAAACCTCGAACCCTAAGCCCCAAACCTTAAACCCTAGCCAGGGTAAGGTTCCTATCTAGCGGGGCTTAGCCTTCCCAAGAGTTCCTCGCCGACAATGTGCTTTCGGGCTTCGGGGTTGAGTTTCAGTCTAGGACCTTTTCAGGTGGCTAGTTACCGTTATCGGAGCCGTATAGAAGGTCTATAATACCTTAAGAAGCCTTATAGAAGGCCTATATACCCTAAACTCCCCACCAGCCGTCTCTTTTAATACAAGAGTTCCGTCTAGTGGTTTTGTTGGGTCTTCCTAGAAGAGCTCCCACAGTTGATGATAGAAATCCTTAGCGTTACCTTCTAAGACCCTAAACGATGGGAATGATGGTCTACTCCTTATTATGGGTAATGCAGGATTTAAATATCATCAACCGTATTGCAGTTCTGCCAAGTGTACAGGATTCCGGACTCCAGTTCTAGGACATTTTCAGGTGGGTAGTTGCCGTTTAAGGGAGCCTTATAGAAGGTCTATATACCTTACCCCCCAAACCCTAAACCCTAAACCTTATAGAAGCCTTATAGGTGCCCTATATACCCGAAACTTGCCACCTGTAGTTTCCTTTAAGTCCAGTGAAGGCTTCGAGGGCTTTGGGACCCTAAACCCCTCAACCCCTATACCCCCGAACCCCTGAACCCGAAACCCTAAACCCTATGGACGAGGGCCTAAGGTGCGAAAGCTTAATCTCTTCAGGGCTGTAGCGTCGTAGGGTTTGGGGTTCAGGTTTTAGGGTTTAGGGTTTAGGTGCTTTGCTTGGAATTTGATCGCATTCTTTTGGGAGGTTCCTTGGGCTGAGCCCTCGCAGGAAACCGTGGCTTCAGGGTTTGGGAGGCTCCGGGATGCTGGGATGTTAGGGTCCAGGGTTTAGGGTTTAGGGCTTGGGGATTAGGGTTTAGGGTGTAGGGTTTAGGGTTAGGGTCCAGGACTTTGAAACGGCTGTAGGTCTTAGGCTCAGTATGTGGGTGTTGGGTGAGTGCACCTATGGGTTCTCAGGAGCAGTGGTCGGTGTATGTGTTGTTTGTCTTGTTGCGTGGGATGCTAGTAGTCCGAGCTAGCTCAAGCCCTAAACGTAGGGCCTAAACCTTACCAAACCCTAAGTCCCAAACCCGACTAAATGTAAACCCCATGCTCTTGCAAGTAACCCCTTGGCCGTCGTAGACCTCCACATATAATCATGATAAAGCCTAAACCTGCAACCCTAAACCCTAAAACCTAAGCCCTAAAAACTCTAAACTCTAAATCCGAATCCCCTACTAAGTCCTCTGAAGCCTTTCTGCGTCCGCCTTTCAAACCCCAAAGCCCCAAACCCCGAACCCCAAACCCTATACTAAACCCTAAACCCTAAACCCTAAACCCTAGACCCTCAACAACCTGGAATCTTGGACCATGGCCCAGGATACGTGGACTTCATGGCCTGCGTGCAAAGATCCTGGGCTCCATGCTTTGGGGATGGAGTTTTGGGCTTCCAGCTCATGCTTTTTTTTGGTTTTGGGGCTGAGGTTGAAGTGTTTTGGAACCTCAACCCTCAGCTGAGCTTTAAATCCTAAATCTTCAGCCCTAGAGCCTAAACCCTAAGCCCTAAGTTTGGATTTTGCGATTTTCGGGGTCTTCGGGATATTCGAAGCTTAGGCCACGTTGCGGCCAGAAGCCTCAACGAAGCTTCGCCCTACTGGGTCTGCGCCTCCGCAGCAGTTTTCTTTCCTTTGTTTTGGGTGGGTCTTTAAGGCATGGAGGCTAGATAGAGTTTCGAGGGTTTAGGAGTTTGTTGTTCCGTTTTATTAGAAAAGAATTTTTTGTTGGTGGGTCTTTAGGGTTTCGGGTTCTGTTCAGCTTTGCTTATGGGCGGGTTGAGGGTTTAACTTGAGAGGGCTTATGGGGTGAGTGTTGATTAGGATTTAGGGTTCAGCGGTTTAGCGTTTAGTGTTTGCTGGTTGTGTAGGGTAGACGGGTGAAATGAGGTTGCTGGCAGACCTTCAAGCGAGTAGGCTTCATGGTTTTTTTTCATCGCGCTCTTTTTATGCTTCCAGACTTAACATGACAGACAGAGCAGATCTTGGTTCAAGGGCCTGGAGTTCCGGAGGTTTTGGGCTTGGGTGGGCTTCGCGGTGTGCTGGATTCACTTTTCCATTGCGGGCGCGATGGGCGACTGCACGGCGCTACTCGGCGCTACCCGGCGCTACTGGGCGCTACCCGGCGCTACCCGGCGCTACTCGGCGCTACCCGGCGCTACTCGGCGCTACTCGGCGCTACCCGGCGCTACCCGCCGATCACATTACGCAGTCGCGCTTTCCCGTCACAGTGCAAAAAGGCGCAACTGCACCTTGGTAGGAGTTTTGGCTAACACGTCGTTAGTTAAAGGCTTGTTATTGTTTATGTGCTTAAAGCTGTCTGGGGCACGTTTTGTCAACATGCTTCACGACCTACAAGCCTGAAATCTAAATCCTCAGGAAAGTCAGCACGGTTCCAAAAATTGGTAGCGCGAGCTGCAACAGTAAGCCGCCAAGATGGTTTCGCGTTGAATCTGTCTGCCCTTTGCAGCCACTGTTGGCTCAAGCGGCCACAACCTCAAACGTAAAAATGAGATGGCGGGCAAAGTCTCTACTCCCATTGCTAATCATTGCTACTCTTATTGTCAATACGTAAATTTGTTTCCGTTTAGACCAACATGGCTGCAATATGCATGCGGCAGGCAGCCTCTGAGCCGAGAGACCCGGATAACTCCGCGAAGTATGGGCTTGGCTTGTAAATTTGCATGCGTTTCGGTATTCACAGGCAGCTATACCGTTGCACCGACCAGTCCTTGAAAATTCCCCAACGAACAAGCAGCGACCTCCCGCCGCTGCTCCTTGCTAGGACTCTTCGGTTGGGCAATGCAGGGCACACGCGCTCCTACGGAGACAGTTGTGTGAGTTGTGTGCTTTGTTGATCGCAGTTTCGTCGCTGGGTCCAGCAAGATCATCTGGAGCTGTTGTGCATCTCATGTCTTCCCAAAGTCCCATCACGAAACACGCCTTAAGTCAGCTTAGCACTCATCTAGCCGCGGAACATCCGTCCCCAGCCCCACCCAGAATCCGTAAGGCGAAGACCTAAACCCTGCAGGCCAGATGCTTCAGCGCACTTCGACTTCCACGGCGCATTGCCGTCGCATGGCCCTAATTCGTGCAGGTGTTGTGGGGGCTGCCACTCTGTTCTGTTGCTATACTGGTGATAAGGCCACTGCAAGGCGAGGTTTCGCTGCGGCCTCAGCGCCGATTTCAATGTTGATATCAGCTGCTGAATCCCGCATTGGTTTTGCCTGGTCAGATCAGCCTGGTAGAGACGTCACAACCTCCCTGCCTTTCTGAAGGCTGGGGCAGAGACCCACGGGGGCGACGACATCCACAAGGCCTTCGCTTTGCCTCAAAGGTAGCGGCTTTGGTGCTTGCTTTTTCCCGCCAGGTGGAGCGACTGGTCTGCGATTTTTCTGTCCGGACTTCAGCTCTCGGCATCTGTCGGAGTGTCCAGGAGCCCTCCGGGCCTCTGCAGGTCACCACAAACGCACTCGGACCTGTGCCCGGGGCACTTGACGCTGTGAGGCGGGGCAGTCCGACAGAGTCCGAGATTATCGGCTTCTGATCCGGACGATCTGTGCCAGGCGACTCTTTGAAAACGGCGATCACGCCAGTGCAGGCGTTTGGAGCATGCCCTTTAATAAGGGCGATGCAAGGCCCGCCGCACAAGCTGGTGCCGATCACTTCGGATGAAAAGGATAGCGTCGGGTCCTCTCGATCATTCTGGCACGCTTGAGCACATCCACCGTGCCTGGCACGGCATGGTCTTGCTGAAGCAGCACGTAGGCGATGTTCGCAAGTGACCTGTCTTTCAATCCGCAGAGGCAGTCTGGCAACCAGGCCGGCGAATGTACAGGCCATCAGCCCGCGCACATTCTGGAGTGCAGCATCAGCAGAGCTCCTTGTGTGGAATCCGGGCACTGCGACAACAAGGGGCAGAGGAGCACGATTCTAAGCAGAGGGCCAGGATGTTTAAGAAATGCATATTATTTGCTGGCATGAACTGGTGTCCCTGGGCATTTAGAGCTGGTCGCTGAGGAATGCTAGGCTAGACGCTTGCACTCGCCTCTCTTCAGGCATCTCCGGCGAGGTATCCTCTAATGCAGCCATCGAGCTGCATCCCAAGCATGCAGTGCTGGACAGGAGTGTCATCAGCGTGGCACAACAACTAATAACTTCAAGGCGCCCTGAGATGACCACCATCGCTTACTCTTCTTCTAGATCCCACCAGGCCGCTACTGTTGTAGGTCCGTTGATCTTTGGTCTTCCCTTTTGACTGCTACACAGAACCCTGTGCAAATGCAGCAATAAGCAGGTTCGTGACGGGCCGTCGTGTCCGTAAGAAAGGTCTGGACCCGGTGTCCTGCAGTAGACATCGCGGGCAAATGCAAAAGTCGGAGGGTTTTCGGAAATAAACCAATGTCATATAACAAATAATTAATATACATATATATATATATACATATATATATATATTTATTGTTTATATATTTTTATTTTTATCTATTTATTTAAGAATTTCGTAATCTTAAAGTCAGGCTTGCTGACATTGCCGAGGCATTACCCGAAACGGGCAGACGACGAGCTGGAGCTTCTGACGGCCGCATTCCTGCGTGGCGACGCGAATGCAGAGGCCGTAATTTCAGAGCTCTGATGGACCAAAAGGGGAGAGTAGCAACTCGAAGACTAGGGGCCTTAATTATAATTACCAATACTATTTTGGGAGTTCCTTATTATGTGATTAGAGTTATAGTACACATAATAGTGCAGGTCACGCGCTCCCAGCTGATCTTCGGCAACGGCGCCAGTGAGCTCATAGATTTGTTGGCCGGGATCTTGATGGCTGGTTGAACGTGCTTAAGTGGTTGCAATCGCATTTTGCCGCCACCCGTCGCACAGACTGGACTGCTCCAGGCTGCTCGTATCCCACCAAATGCCAAGTTCCTGCCTCTCGACAGCTCCCTAAATGCCAAAACCCTAAGCACCACAGTCACTATCCTGCCTCCGCCTGCTAGGCATTCTGACGGCAAGTACCTACTGCTAGAGGAAGAGGGGCGACAAAAAAAATGGTCACTATAGTAAGAATACTAACATACACTAGCAATATTAAGAACAAGAATAATAATTGCAATAATAACAAGTTCTCTATACGAGCAATAACAAGAGTACTCACAAGAATATCAATAAGAAAAATGACAACGATAATACTCAGAATATTGATTTAATTATTAAAACACCCAAAAGCCCTCTGGGAGTTTGCAAGGGCAGAGCTGCCCCACAAGGAAAGTACTGCCGGGACGCTCGGACTTCGGCGCTCCCCGTTTTTGCTGCCTTCAGGGTTTGGGGTTTAGGGTTTAGGGATTGAGGATGTGGGTTTAAGGTTCAGGGTGTTGGGGGAGGGATTTTTTAGTCATTTCTGGGCCAGGATTGGGGGATCAGTGCTTGGGCTTGGGGCTTTGGGGCCTCGGGGTTGGGGTTTTAGGGTGTTTCGGACTTTCTTCCGGGTGGCCCTCAGGTCTCAATCCCTTCACGGAAGTTCAGTACCGGGAGCGGGGCACCCAGCGCATGCAGAGTCTCGAGGAGTCCTGGATCTTTCAGAGCATGTGCTAGCGTGGGGGTTGGATCGGTTCCTCTGGCTTGACTGAACACAAAAAACATAATCAGGAGACTCTACGTCCTTGAGCATGCAAGTTGAGACATTGAAAGGATGAGGCATTACAAAGAGTTGTTGCACACCCGTGGCGGTGATGACAGGTATCAGCGTGCCTGTGACAACGCAGGGAGAGAGCGTCCAGCGCTTGGTGCGGTGAGTTTGGTCTCCAGAAGCGTTGTTAGGCTGTTTAGGATCCAGGCCTCTGCTCTAATTTACTGCTTACTTGGCACCCTGTCGGAAACTCCTCTTGATGAAGCCTTGTGACCTTGTGTGACCGCCACACAATGAGGCACCAAGAATCCCAAGGAGCGCCGGCGCTTGATGCTTTGGATGAGGGTTAGAGCAAGTCGTGTCAATGATTCTGACGGCTGGCATCTCAAGAGTTCTGGAAAGATTAGCAGCGATGCAGACAAGGACCTCACAGTATCTAGAAGTCCCTTTTGTCATGCCATACCATGTTGAAAGTCTAGGGAAGGTGGTTTCGTGACGATCATGCCATGAGACACAGGACGCCTCGGTTATTTGCAGAGCCCTCAGCGTTGTGATTGCCGTTTGAACCCTCAGCTGGCGATGGGGCAGACATCGGAGGAGCTGCGATACGGACTCTGGACGGCCTTCGGTGCAGTTCTGAACAGATCGGATACAAGATTGAGGCTTGGTGAATCCCAACAACCCGACGGGCGATTTCTTGGAGCGGTCCGAGATGGAGGCAGCAGCTTGCTGAAGGAAGCCAGTCACACGCCAGTGTGGCGCAGAAAAAAACGAGAGACATGGAGATTCATCGCTGTCAGTACAGAGTGGCCACAGACATGTTCGGCCCAGAAAGCCCCATGTTGTGATCCATATCTCAACGTAGATATACTGATATACTCGAGAGCCTCGACATCAACAAAGTGCTCGTTCCCCCTGAGCTTGCAGGCCTGGATCTCGGAGCATGCTGCACCTGGCAGCCAGCAGCCCGGAGAGTTCAGCTTTCCGAAAGTTGTGCTAAGACCCAGGACCCACGTGCTAGTAAGAAGGCATGCAGTGCAAGGGGTTTAAGAGCATTTAGCTGTTGGTTGCTGAAGTCTACCGCGTCGCAGCAGACACCCCGATCTTGGTTATGCTAAAGGTGGCGAGGAGGTCCCGACAGTGCAACAGCCACTCCATGAGCTGCAGGAAGCAGAAGCTGGCGTCATAAGGACTTGTCCTAAATGATCCCTATCCTTCCAATTTGATCCAAGACTCATGGCTGACACACACGTTTAAGTTTGAATCCGACTGCACAGGCTGGGTCATCGTTGATGAGTCCATGCTCTTCTGGGCCGGGCCAGACTTTCAGGACAAACGTTACAGGTAAGGTATCAGCTTGAAGAGAGGTGTTTCCGGAAAGCCTCATGGAATCTCCGACATATCTTGAAGCCCGAAGCTCGTTGGGATCCTGGGGTCTTGACTCGCAGGAGCGTGGCGTTAGTGCGAGTTTCACCGAGTCCATGGTCAAGAAGCATATCAATATCTTCCTGGTGCACCACTCAGTGCAGAGGTGTGGCTATTGCATATCAGTAGTTTGTGTTATGATTATTTTTGTCGCTATTGTTCGGGATATTATCAGTCTTCTTCTCCTTCTCAGTATTGTTGCCAGTACTAGCAGTAGTAGTCGTCGTCGTCGTCGCAGTAGTAGCGCTAGGAGTGGTGGTGGTGGTGGTGGTGGTGGTGGTGGTGGCGGTGGCGGTGGCGGCGGCGGCGGCGGTGGTGGTGTTGGTGATGGTGGTGGTGGAGGTGGAGGTGGAGGTGGAGGCGGAGGCCGAGGCGGAGGCGGAGGTGGAGGTGGAGGTGGTGGAGGTGATGGTGGTGGTGTAGTGGTAGTAGTGGTGGTAGCGGTTGTAGTTGTGGTGGCGGCTAGAAGTAGTAGCAGTAGGGGCAGTAGTAGTCGTCGTCGTGGTGGTGGTGGTAGTGCCCGGTGGTAAGTAGTAGTGGCAGTGCCGGTAGTGGTCAGGTCTTCGTCATCATCATCATCATCATCAGTATCATTGCGGTTGCTGCTTCCAGGACATAGTCGCCCTGTTGACTCCTCAACCCCTTGTGGGACTTGTGGGCTTCTTAAAATGAGGGCTCCCATCTTGGGGAGTGTTTGATTATTTTGCAAATTTGGGATTGTCATTAGGAATCCGCTAGTTCCCCAAGATCCTGGATCCCGTGGTTGCAGCCGGGGACAGTTCTGTTCTCAAGAGGTGCAATCGTGGACAAAGATATTCTCGTGCACTGGGTCGAAGGCTCAGGGCTTTGGGTGAGAGTTCCGGAGAGCTGCACTGAAACATCATGCATGTCTGCTTGCATTTTCTGTGACAGCTGCTTTTGTAGCGTTGGACGCCTGCTTTGGTCCTCGCCACTAAGGTTGAGGATAGGCGCGGTGGCGGGATGATTGGCTGCAGATGTGCTGAATTCCAGATCCATGTGGCGTGTGCTTCGCAGAAAAGTAAACAAAAATAATGCTGGTAGAAACAGCAGCAGCAGCAGCAGCAGCGATATTAACGAAAGTTTGGCCAGCAACATCATTGCAGTAACAACGAGATTTTATTTTTGGTATGCTTACTTACATGTATGTATGTATGTATGCATGTATGTATGCACGCATGCATGCATGTATGCATGTATGCACGTACGCATATATTTCTGTGTATATCTGTATATGAGATGCATGTATGTATGTATGTATGCATGTATGTATGTATGTATATGGTCACGCGCTCCCCGGCCCCCTCCACTCCCCTCCTTCCCAATGGTCCGGGATGCCTCCCCTGGAGTATGGGGGGTATAGGGGGTTCTGGGGTTTTGGGGTTTGGGGTTTAGCTTAAGCTTTTGAGTTTTGGGTTTAGGGTTCAGAAGGGTTAAAAGGTATAAGGCTTCGAGTCGACAAGAGCTTAGGGAGGGTTTGGGATGTAGGTTCGTTAGGGTTGACGGTTTGTGTTCTGCCTTAGGCTTAGAGCCTGCATTTAGGCGGGGTTTAGGGTTGGGTGTAGTGGATTTCGGTTTAAAGTACAGGTTAGGGTTCATAACAACAGGGGCATGCGCCACGTTATAAGGTTTGTGGCTTACGTCGGGCTCGCGTAAGATCCCGGCCCGGCCGGCCCCCCAGCAGCGCCCCACCGTCCAGCTGCAGCTCCAACGGCCCCGACCCCTCTC